GGGGCCACAGTTACTATCGTATCCGATTTGGAGTACGAGCTAAGCGGTAGTAACATAAGGTGTTTACGCGCGTCCTTTTAAGAAATTAGACCACCTGGCATCTCGGACTTGGCATACGATTTTTCTCCGCCCTTAATACATAATGATACTTTGTTATTTTTTGATTTACTAATGGATAAAAAGGTGCATAATGCAAATTGGTTTTCAAAACCAGAGCAGATGAATGAGGTAATAATATAACAAGATGCAAAGCAAGATTGTTGGAAAGGGTTACCAACTGAAGAAGCAATAGATTATAACGATATCTACGCTCCAGTTATACGGTACTCCTGAATGAGATATGTGATTTGTTTGGCTGTAATATACAACTTAAACATGCACTAAATGGATGCTGTGAAAGTATTTTTACAAGGAGACACTGAAGCAGAATACATGTTTTAGTCACAGCAATACAAGAGGCTATTTGGCTTAACACGTTGAACGCCATGTGGCCCACCGGTACCATTCGGACCAAGCCAAAATCAGGGAATGGGTAGTTTTTATCAACTTGAGTTTTTTTTTTTTTTTTTTTAAATGCGATAATTTGCACGGTAGATAAAAATTAGAGACTATTATCGTATAGTTCAAATCAAATAAAATAAAAAAATTCAACATACTTGTTGAACGTCAAAAGAACTACCGCCAATTCACAAAAACTAGCCTCCATCCTGAGAAGAATTGGCAAGAAACTCAGCGGGCATGTTTTTTTTTTTTAAATATTAGATATTTTTTTAAGATAAATAATATTAAGGCCATAATCTTGATAAAAACTTCAACTTTCTATTGGATTTGAAAACTAAGACTTTCGGTTCGGTTAAAGGGCCACGCGGCTCACTTCCATACGCGTTTTGTTTGATAGCTGCAATCTGTGGCTGGAAAAATGCGTGTACATTAGAACCCTCACACGGCTCACGGATGACCCTCGTAGCCCAAACGGCTTGGGATAAGGCGCATCAGTGAGCACCGTGACTTGAATGAAAATACTCGATTTTAATACGCTTTTATTAGCTTCATACGTATGTTAGTATGTACTAGACGATACTAGACGATGACCGAGCATTGCTCGGCAATTTTTTTTTTATAAATTTCGTTTTTTAGAAATTAAATTTAAATATTAATTACATATTGTTAAAATGATGAAATATTCCAAGATCGTTTAGGCATTTTAAGTGAACACGTGAGTTAAAAAGACACAGATAATATAAACAAACAATTCATTTTCTTGGTCTAACCTTAAACCAAAACACTCATTGGCTTCGGGTGGCTTAACAACGCCATCTGCTGAAATAGCTTTAGTGTTATTGTGTCTTTAAAGCAGTTAGTTGGTCTCAATTATGAAAAATAGTATTATTATTCGCCAATAGATGTCAGGAAAAGTCATAAAGTTGATTATCGATAAAGTTGATTATTGAAAATACGATTAAAACAACATTTTCTGAAAATAAATCGTAGCTAGATCGGTTTATCGACCCCGAAATCCCCTGTATAGGTACTAAATTTTATAAAAATCATTGGAGCCATTTCCGAGATTCAGATTATATAGATATTTATATACAAGAATTGCTCGTTTAGAAGTATAAGATATAACGGAATCTTTGACCGTGTTTTTGGTCCCCTTCAAAACGTCGGATTAACTCGAAATTTGGCGTACTTATCAAGAACCGATGACAATTCAATATTTTAAACACTTAAACAATAGACTTGTGTCAGTAACTTACACCCGTTATTTACTTTCGGCAGTCAAAACTATAGATTCATTTGAGCGCCTTCTTTTTTTCACTTAGCAAATTGGAAACTGTTGTATTTTTACGTCAATGTACATTAATGAATAATTTATGATACATAATGTTACTTAAACTAAAAAATTAAAAATAAATATTAGTTTAAAAAACTAAAAAACACACTTTTATAGAGAGTCGAACTAAAAAATAGGAAATAAGTTTATTGTAAAAAAAGCGTGGGGTACCTACCTAATATTTAAGATATTATCAAAATAATAATCCTACTCGTACCTGTCAATAAAATATTTATGACTATTGAGACAATGCACCCCACACTTGTTTCACAAGGTTTTTAAACTATTATTTATTTCATGTGGCTATCAACGTGATAAACAATTAGAAGACCTTTGGCCTGCTCTTTCAGGTATGCCAATTACAATGTATTACGATAATCAAAGTGCTATTATCATTTCAGGTGATTACATCTATCATGCTGTTAGCAAGTACATTGATGTACGCTATCTATTGTGAGAGAATAGATCGTCAAAAACAAATATAATATATAGACGCTTGAAAGGCAAACGTGACTAAGCGACAATAACTGCTTTGTACATAAATGATAGGCAATTACCATATTCGATGCGCAAAAAATATATATTTCTAGGTCTATTAAAATCATTTCAATCCTACAGCTAGATTCGTTAAAATATTTTTTTTTTCAGGTATTTCAACTTTAAATTAGTCTACTGTAAAGTTCACGCATTGTCGCTTAGTCACGTTTGCCTTTCAAGCGTCGGGAGATGGTCGCTGACACTTTGACGAGGGCTTTACATCGACTTGCACGTGAAAAGTTCAACCTGGTAATGGGTTTGCGTCCAGGGGAGGCTGTCGAAATATGAGGCTGCAAATTAAAATTGCAAGTTGCTGCTCATCCGCTTGCTACCCAACGCGAGTCCACATCACATTATAGTATTTGATCTACAGTCTCTCTGGTTCTACGTAAGTAAAGATCAATGTGCGCTCGTTCTTTACTAATAAGTAAGGATCTATCTTTACTAATAAAGGGAGTAAGGGGAGATCGGCCTATTGTCAACCCCACCTGCACGCGCCGGATGGCGGCGGCGACCAACAGATTGCCGTGGTGCTCCCTGCTAGAGAACGAACGGGGCAATGGCGACCGAGCAATGGCGGTATAACCATACACACCCGTCAGGACAACCTGTACGGAAGAGGCGTCAGAAACCTTGGGGATCAAATACCCCCTAAAATGCTGGTGCAGAAGGCAACGGGAAACCACTGCACTAATTTCCCACGAGAGTAATGAGCAGGTCGTATCCGACTGATGCATGTCCACGACCTCTCTGTCAAGAGTATACGAATAGGAAGGAGAAGAATCTTTACTAATATTATAAAGAGGAAAGATTTGTTTGTTTGTATTCAATAGGCTCCGAAACTACTGAACCGATTTGAAAAAAAATCACTGTTTAGAAATTACACTATTCCTGAGCGACATAGGCTATAATAGTTTTTGAAATAATTAGCGATCCTTGCAAAAACTCCAATAATGTAACCCAAGATGTAAAAAAATTACCTAAAATATTCTTTACGTCGCGTGCCCTGCGAAAATTATAGATGATAGAATATGTATGTGTATAATAGAATGTCTAACTATTATAGTTATGCCGCAGTAAGTGTTCTTTTATTTAAAAAAATTAAACAACGTCAAATATCGTTGAAATTTTTGTTAAAGTCCCGAGCGGAGCCGGAGCGGGCCGCTTGTAATTCATATACCTAGTAATAAATTATTTTATTGATTTAATCCAAAGTCTCGCGTATTATTAATACTATTAGTATTTATTATAATACCACTCTTCTAATGAAATACATACTTAACTCATGTTCACGGGTAACCTACACGAAGAACAAATAGCATCGTAGAATCCAAAATTAAATACACCAAACCTCTAATTTGCTCATCGACCACAATATTTAATAGAGACTAAGGCTGGGTTCACACGGCATTATCCTGCACGTTTATTTGCAGTATACGTCTTATCGAATGAATAGTGGTACATGACATAGAACTATTCGCATGTCGTTCGTGCTGCAAAAAATCGTACACTGCTTATGCGTTTAAGCGAATGCTCAACGGACTTGTCAAGCAAATCGAATGAACTTTAACGCTCTGTCTCGTTCACACGTTCACACACAAAGACTTTTGCTTTATAAAGCCGTGTCTGGCCTCGCGTGGAGTACTGCTCCCATCAGGGCAGGGGCTCCCAAATACCAGCTTCTTCCATTAGACTCCATACAGAAGAGGGCCGTTCGAATTGTCGATAATCCCATCCTCACGGATCGTTTGGAACCTTTGGGTCTGCGGAGGGACTTCGGTTTTCTCTGTATTTTGTACCGTACCTATGTTCCATGGGAAGTACTCTGAGGAATTGTTTGAGATGATCCCCTCATCATCTTTTATTATTATCTGGAACCGCTGCGTTCATCGACAGTGCGTTTCCAGAGGTCTTTTTTGCCACGTACCATCCGGCTATGGAATGAGCTCCCCTCCACGGTGTTTCCCGAGTGCTATGACATGTCCTTCTTTAAAAGAGGCTTAAGCGGTAGGCAGCAGCTTGGCTCTGCCCCTGGCATTTCTGAAGTCCAAAAGCGACGGTAACCACTCACCATCAGGTGGGCCGTATGCTCGTCTGCCTACAGGGGCAATTTGTGTAATTACTGGTGGTAGGACCTCCTGTGAGTCCGCACGGGTTGGTACTACAACCATGCCTATTTCAACCATGAAGCAGTAATGCGTTGCGGTTTGAAGGGTGGGGTGGCCGTTGTACTATACTGAGACCTCAGAACTCTATCTCAAGGTAGGTGGCGGCATTTACGTTGTAGATTTCTACGGGCTCCGGTAACCACTTAACACCAAGTGGGCTGTGAGCTCGTCCACCTATCTATACAATCAAAAAAAACACAGACACAGAGCTTCAGTCTCGAGGTAGGCTCTAGGTGGCGTTCACATTCTGATATCAATGGACTCCTGTCACCAATTGACAACAAGTGGGCCGTAAGCTCATTATCTAGTCTAGGCAATAAATAAAATTAAATCTTGTTCGATTTAAAGAAAACAATATCACAATTACTGATTGACCGGTGTGACACACGACCTGTAATTACGATAAAGACGAGATTTATCTTTAAGCATCCAACAGAGTATATAAGACCAGAGTGCAGCAAGAAACGCATTGCAGACTTGAAGGCGATCTGAAAGGTAAGACTTGTTTATTATTTCAACTGAACATTACCAATTACTTGTTTTATAACGATCCACTGATTGATGATCCATTTCATTTGCTTTCAATGCTTTACTTTTTTATTTTTTTTATTTTTTTATAGCCTTTATTCAGACAGTATTTCATTTACATACCTTAATTTTCTTGTTGTTAACAATTGTATTTTTATATACTTTATATATTAAATATATTAAAGTCTTAACTCTATCCTTAACTATTTAGCATCGATAACCCCGTCTGTATGTCATTTATTGACAAAAGCCTCCTCCAACCTTTTCCATTTTCTCTGTCTTTGGCAGTTCTTGTCCATAAACCTCCCGCTACGGATTTGATATCATCCAGCCATCTTCTGAATGGTCTACCTCTTTTCCTCTTCATATGACTTGTGAATCAATTCATTATTGATTTTGACCATTTATCTTTGCCTCTAACTATATGACCTGACCATCTCCACTTTAGCTTTTTTATTGTTGTTGTGACATGTTTTTGTGTATTTCTTTATAGTATCCATTCTTATTCTGTCAGATAGTACCGGTCACCGTTCTCGTCGAACCCGTCGCTTGCGACGAAGGGCTCGACGAGTAAATTAACCCTCAGACCCACTGAGGTTCTCGCCAGATCTTCTCAGTGGGTCGCGTTTCCGATCCGGTGGTAGATTCTGCGAAGCACGGCTCTTGCTAGGGTCGTGTTAGCAACGTCGTCAGGTTTGAGCCCCGTGAGCTCACCTACTAGTTAAGGTTCCGTAAGCTTAGGTAGGAAACAAAAAAAAAATAATGTCAGATAGTCTTTTCCCCATCATACTTCTTTCCATGGAGTTTTGGGCAAGTTTCCAGCTTTTTAACATTTGCTTTGGTGAGTGCTCAAGTTAGGCAGCCGTATGTGAGTACAGGGAGTATGCTAACATCAAAGAGTTTCCGTTTGATGCCTATACTGATATAATGCTTTACTACTCGGGTTAAATGTTCAATTGTATTAAGATGGATGAATCACATGATTATAAGTTGACTGCAATTTAAAGGCCACCAAACCACAAATTTCGAACATGTTTTTAGTTTTGTTTCTAATAGAAATAAGATATTCTTCAGTATAGGACATTTCGTCGTGAGCACATTTACTTCCTACTACTACTTTAAAAGAGAAAACAAAAACCTTCATTCCTAACCTAGACACAAATAACAAATATCATATGTACAAAGAACCGTGCTTTATGTTACAGGCTCCTAACAAAATGAAACTTCTCGTTGTATTTGCGATGTGCATGCTCGCCGCCAGCGCGGGCGTCGTTGAACTATCCGCGGACAGTTCTAACCAAGACCTCGAGGAGAAACTGTACAACAGCATCCTCACCGGCGACTACGACAGTGCTGTCCGTCAGAGCTTGGAATACGAGAGCCAAGGCAAGGGCTCCNCGTGCTTTATGTTACAGGCTCCTAACAAAATGAAACTTCTCGTTGTATTTGCGATGTGCATGCTCGCCGCCAGCGCGGGCGTCGTTGAACTATCCGCGGACAGTTCTAACCAAGACCTCGAGGAGAAACTGTACAACAGCATCCTCACCGGCGACTACGACAGTGCTGTCCGTCAGAGCTTGGAATACGAGAGCCAAGGCAAGGGCTCCGTCATCCAGAATGTAGTCGACAACCTGATCATTGACAAGAGACGGAACACCATGGAGTACTGCTACAAGCTGTGGGTCGGCAACGGACAGGATATTGTCAAAAAGTACTTCCCATTAAGCTTTACACTCATCATGGCCGGAAACTATGTCAAGCTCATTTACAGAAACTACAACCTCGCTCTGAAGCTCGGTTCCACAACCAATCCCTCGAATGAGAGAATTGCCTACGGCGATGGTATTGACAAGCACACTGAACTCGTCAGTTGGAAGTTCATTACTTTGTGGGAGAACAACAGAGTGTACTTCAAGGTCCACAACACTAAGTACAACCAGTACTTGAAGATGAGTACGACGACTTGCAACTGCAACAGTCGCGACCATGTTGTATACGGCGGCAACAGCGCTGACAGCACCAGGGAGCAATGGTTCCTCCAACCCGCCAAGTACGAAAACGACGTCCTGTTCTTCATCTACAATCGCCAATTCAACGATGCCTTGGAGCTCGGTACGATCGTGAACGCCTCAGGAGACCGCAAGGCCGTTGGACACGACGGTGAAGTCGCCGGTCTTCCTGACATCTACTCGTGGTTCATTACACCTTTCTAAACGACCAGAGGCACTGTTATATGTTCATGAATAATGTAATAAACGAGCATTCTTAAACTTAATTTGTTTTGTTTTCAATTTCTAGTGTCCATTACTTTTTGAATGATAACTGTTATGTCGTCGTGACTCAAACAATAAGGAGCCTGGTATACCCGTATCAGGCGTTGTGACTATGCCCGTGCTCATATCCCTTGGGCCGGAACCAATTTATCAAAAGAAATACGTACTTGATAGGTGACACGATTGTCTTCTACGATAAATAACATCGTCAATTAAAAATCCAACACTTTTTTTTTACATTTTAACGATTAATTCATATCGTTCTTTTTCGAAACCGTGTTTAACAAAGCATGGTTTACACATATAGGGCACAGCCACTTCTTACGGCATTAGCATACCCGATCCTGCGGACCGAATGGTAAACAGTTGACGTCGCCCTAAGCACGTCATTTGGGATCCTCCCGATCCAATGTCGGTTCTGTTAGGTACCACAGGCACCTGTCACCGTTCTCATCGAAACCGTCGTTAAACGACGAAGGGTTCGGCGAGTAAATTAACCCACAGACACAGCACACTGAGTTTCTCGTCGGATATTCTCAGTGGGTCGCGCTTCCTTTGTTAGATTCTATGAAGCACTGATCTTGCTATGGCTAGTGTTTGCAACATCTTCAGGTTACAGCCCCATGAGCTCACTGAAAAAATCTCAGCTGAGATTTTAAATCATACCATATTATTATCATCTTATCTCATTTCATTTAAATTCTTCTCAGTTCATTAATGTCTCAAATTAATCATCTTCATTTCATTTCACTTCACATTATCATTTTTCATAAAAATAAGAATAATAATATAAATTAAAATAAGACATGACTTAAAAGTGTTAGTTACCAGGTCATAAAATCCCTTAGAAAAATGTATCGAAAATACCGCCAAAAGAAGAATTGAAAAAACTCCAACCGTGTATGTACATATTCACTGTGATAAATTAATTAATTAATTCGCAAATAAGTAGGTATGTGGTTTCACTTGTACAAAAGTGAGGAGCTACATAAAGGCCAACCGCATTCTGCTTCGGAATTAAGTCTCTAAGAATTATCGAAGAAAGGCCGCATAAATTGAAACCAAAATTCTAAGAGGGAAAACTGATGAGCAAGTTAGTGCATAGTGTTTTTATATCCCCCATCTCACCATTCTTATAATTATTATTAATTGTTTATTCTTTTATTCTTTAATAAATGGTGCATAGCGTCCTCCCTGTAAATTGCTGTTGCAGCGATTTCGGACCCGCAATCAGTCACAAATATCAGATACATTTCAAATTACATGGGCTGTTTGATAATTATCTTTAATTCGGGAAAGTAAGTATTTTATTTTATTAATTTTTTTGTTAAAAAATATAAACAAAGTATAGTATAGTAGGGGTGGGGAAGTTATTATATGTTTCATGGAGTTTATTAATGCGTCAATGACAATTTTATTGACTCAATCATAAAGATCATCTTATGTACCTACAAGCTACCTATGTTAAAAACCTTTTTTATGTTTATTTACCTACATACCATTTATGCAGATACTCACACATACACAATACAACATGCATGCGCGCACACGCCCACATACACACACACACACACACACACACACACAAATACACACACATTCACACACGCACACACACGTAAAATGACCTTCTTAAAATATAACACCTAATGATCTCTCAACACTAGTCCGCAGCATCTGTTCACGACTTAACCTAACCTAATCTATCTTAAGACGGAGGGAGCCTGGAGATCAGTAATACAGGTCTTTGAACCTAGTACAGACTTCAGCTCTTTCAAAGGCTTACAAAATAAATTATAAGGTTAATTTATTTCCATTTGAATTTGTATGTACCTTGTACCTTTAAGAGAGAAATAAGTAAATTATTATTATTATTATTATTATACCTACATAACATTTTTATATAAACCTTACACCAGTTTATTAGTGACAAGAGCTCACTGATGTTTTCAACTTTGAAACCTCCATTACTCATCTAATGAAGACAAATTTTAATATTGATTTTCTAGTGTACACACACTGACTACTTTTGCATTACTGTTATGTTGATAAAAAATATACTTTAAATGTATCTAATAGAAACTAGTTTTCCTGTTTTAATATTGTAAAATTATATCCTGTGAACCCTGTTTAAACACATGATGTATTTAAATCATGTGATTTAAATAAATATAGGTGTTTCATAGGTGAATCCTGAATATGATCTACAAAACAGGTAAAGTTATTTTACAGTGCTTATTTGTATATCAATGCAACAGTGTGCATCAGTGCAAATATTTAGTCAAGTAAGATTGGTTAGAGTTAATTGTTTCCTCAATGTTAAAATTGTTGGTTAACTATATATAACTTTAAAATTACAATGCATTTAAACAATCATTTAACACATGGTATTCAGGAAAATCAATGAAGGAACTATGTACCCCCACTGTTCTAATATGAGTGACTATTGTCACACAACACATTGTAACTTAACTAATTTATGTGTTTTATCTATGTTCTGACTTGAGCAGCCGAGAGTGTGGACCTCTGTTGTTATTGTTGAACCCTAGAAATTTAATAAAAGGAATTGTTTGGAATAATATGTCTTAATTACTATCACTATGAAAGGAAATCATAATAATGAAGAGAATGGACCCAGTCTCTCTGTCATAAAGATATATATATTTAAATATATAATTGCACATATACGTTATACGTTAACAACAAAACATTCTTTCATCTGAGTCAAGAAAAGATACTACCAAACTGGCAATGAAAAAGGTAAAAAAAATCACACAACCTATTAATTCCAAATTCATGTTGCATCTTTAATAGACAATTATTTAACTCCCAAGAACCCTACTTTCCTTTTTATGAAAACTGTATAATTTACCAAACATATTTAAGTGAAGTACTACTCATTCAACCAAGTATCCTGTCAGGATAAAGATTACTAACACAACTTAAAAGTATTTAAACTCTAAAAATTATCTAGTAAATTGTTAGATTTGAAGAAAAAAAAAACTTAGATTTGTCTAATTATGTTAAATAAATAAAATTTTAGTTGATAATTATTATTTATTAGTTCATTGATTGTAATACATAAAGCACTACTAGTACACAAAGAATGGAAAGGTTCATTGGGAAATATTAAATGTGAATTTTTTTTACAACACTACACAAACTTACTACATCTTATGTGAATTATGGAATAGAGTATTTGAAGTTGTAGCATGTCCTGCGATCGTTTGTAATGTTCACTCCATACACATCATTAATGTTATGAGCCGTGTGTGCGACATGGCATTGCTATCTCGACAGACCTCTTATTCCATAACGACTCGTATCTCTATCGTGTTCACATTGATGAAAAATATACAAATGTAGTGAAAATAAAACTATCATGAATCAATCAAATTATGAATCAACGGTAGAAAGCGGCTTGGCTCTGCCCCTGGCATTGCTGACGTCCATGGTCGACGGTAACCACTCACCACCAGGTCGGCCGTATGATCGTCTGCCTACAAGGGCAATAAAAAAATTAATTACTAAATTTCAAAATATAATTCCATTATTTTAAAATAAAATTCATCTGAATTTAGAATGTATTGCTTGAACAATAATGAACAATAATGAATAATGAACAAATAAATAGAGCATATGCTCTGGATTCTAGTGAACGATGAAATCAGTACTTAGAAAGCCTTTATACCCCAAGCGTACTGCTCGGGACTTCCGACCACGCGGCCACTGCGTCCGAACGCCATGCGGTTACCCCAGGTGTCGGTTGGCCTAGAGAGCACCAACGCCTCGTTGTATTCGCGATTGTACATGAAGAACAAAACGTCGTTGTCGTACTTAGCGGGCTGCAGGGTCCATTGGGCCTTAAAACCTTCGACGCTGTTGACCCCGTAAGCCATGTGGTTTTGGGTCGGGGTTGTTTTAAATGACAACGTCAAATACTGATTACGCTGAGTGTTCACAATCTTGAAGTAGACCTTGTTGTTCTCCCACAGAGGAACGAACTTCCAGCTGACTTTTGGACTCGTCTTGTCCTTGCCATCGCCGTAGGCAAGTCTGCCATCGTTGCTGTTCTCATCGTCCAACGCCAAAGCGAGACCGTCGCGCTTGTACATCAGCTTAATGTTGTTTTCTGCGAATATAAGTCTGAACTCAACAGGGAAGCACTCCCGGACGATATCTTTGGAGCCTTGCATCCAGAGCTGGTAGGCGTACTCCATGCAGTTCATCTTGTTGTTTCGTATCAGTTTGTTTACGACATTTGTGATGACTTCGCACTTCTTGTCCTCGTAGGTCTGTTTGCTTTTTTCAACGGCATTGTCGTAATCGGCAACGAGGATGCTGTTGTAAATCTCGTCTTCGAGCTTGGAGTCTGAGACTGAGGTTCCGTTGGCATACAAAGACGCCACGAAAAGACACAGAATAACTTGAACGGTTTTCATCTTTTGCGCGTCGGGTTCTAAAACATAAAAATGTGTTGTTACTATATTTTCTATATATATTCTAAATCTACGTACAAGAAAAATACTGATCGATTCTTGATGTTTTCTGAAGCTCTTAAAGCGATGATATTTCTTTCATATGTACTACATCTAACTACATCTGTACCTTACGGTCCACCTAGTTTTAAGTTTTTTCTATAGGCCCTATACCTACGTGAATATTACCTACGACTTTGAGACGAAATGTCCAACTATCCAAATCCGAATTCTATCGTATAACGACTGTTTCGCGCTTTAAACGCGGACAGATTTTGGGCAGAAATAAACAGGATAGATGAAATGTACCGGTCTGAACACACCGTAACCCCAAAGTTGGTGAAACATAAAATTATTTGTGCAATCTCACCTCTGCCTCACAAGAACGATCTGTCTGTTTCGTTATGAACTCGGCCTTTTATACTGGAAATCGGATTGAATCATTACACGCCAGATACGATATCATCTTAAAAGTTCAAAGGTGAAATGAAAGTGGATTGAATTTTTGCGTAGCTTCATAGATTAGGGTATTGGTAAAGTACAACAGGATAGGATTCACCACCCTCCGTATTTCAACTATGAAACAGTAATGTATTCCGTTTTGATGAGTGTCGTAGTAGCCGTTGTATTATATAGAACTGAAAACTCAAGGCTCAAGCGTAGTTTGCCCTCGGAGGGCATCTTGGTGTCTATGCCATCGGTGCCTGAAGCGATGGGCATTAGCGGCCTTGGGGTGGTGCGCAGTAATATCGCAGTATTGACCGCACCGTGACTGCTGCTCAGAGGTCTGCGGGCGCTCTCGGTGAGGTTATCAGGGGGTATCAGTCGGCTACTGGATCTCTGCGTGCCCTTTACCGCTTCAAGAACTTTCTCCCTTTCAAGATAAACTTGATGCTTGTTCAAGCTTTAATCCTTTCCATAATTAAATATGGTGATTTGTGTTATCTTGACCTGAATGCAGACCTGTTGAACAAACTCGACCGCCTGCTCAACAACTGCATTCGATTCATTTTTAATCTTCGCAAGTATGACCACGTTTACTTACCGCTCCGAAATAAATTTTCTTCCTCTACGCGAGCGCCGCAATCTACATGCTCTTACTATAATTCACTCTATACTGACATGCCCAACTCCTCCCTCCTATCTGACTTAGTACTTATTCTTCGCACGATAAGGACTAGCGATCCTCTAATAATTATTTACTCTTTTACTGTCCCACGCACAACTCTAGTTTGGTCCGTTCGTCTTTCGTAGTTCAATCTGTTCTTCTTAATGTTAGGATGATCACTGATTGCCTGAGTTTCAAAATAAAGGTTCGGCAACTTTTTCTGGATGAATTGGCGGAAACTAAAAAATTTGACTCGCAGTGTAATGTGTTCTGTGCAATATACTATTTTCTTATATTTATACTATGCTGGCCGTACTCGCCAGCTTCGCTGGGCATTTAAAATTAACATTATTATTTGTTTGTAATTATTATTAGGAAGTCCAACACTCATATAAGTAAGTATTAGCCTATCCATTAAGTACATGTATTTTCTACACGGATACCAAGTTTCAAGTCAATGGGATGCATAGTTCAGTAGTTATAACGGTACATCCGTAAAAACCACTGTATATTTATATATTAGTATAGATTCTTCTATTTCTCTGATAAATTTGTTATATTTTTATGTTGTGTTTAAGTGTGTATATGATTATATATAGATATATGTGTGTATACATATCATTACAAGATACATTAATAAATAAGCAATCAACTCTAACAATGATCCTAAAACAAAAAACCTTACATAATAACAACAATAATAATAACAATAAAAATATAATAACTGAAATATATTATTAAAAGGAGGCCGTTCCGAAGATACTGGCAGCGTTTCTCCTTTGAATAGCTAGACTAATTCTTTGTCCAAGGTAGCTGCCAGCTCTTCGGTCTCCTGTGATGTCGAGTAACGTTTTTGCTAATTCCTTAAAAAGCCTTATAGCGCTAGAACCCCACGGACCAAGAGTCTCGACACCGAATGGGACAAAAACATATTCGGACTGTATTTGCATTGCTCTATTGTTGGTTCCATGTAGATGAGAAGGGACCAGCGTGTCTGAACAGGTTGCATCCCATACCAGCATCCGGCCCATCTTCCATGGAATCAAACTCATACCGTCCGGTCTCTTGCCATCGTCTCTTGCAATACCAGTCGGCTCAAGTAGACCGGCGTATGATATCATTAAGTGCGGCATGTCTCGAGAAGCAGCCTGCACTTTTTTGACATGACATTATCATTATATATACTTAGTCTGGCCACAAATACTGTTACAATTAAAAATAAACAAAATATTACATTTGAATTTGGAATCTGTCATTTTTATATGATTGCTCATTGAGTTTTCTCGTTTTGGCGCCAATCATTGTACAATATTTTGCGATATTAAAATGGAGTGGGGTGATAAAGAGAACCGAATCACTGTGATTGCATTACACAAAGTAGGTATGGAGCCAAATGCAATTTTTAAAACTCTCCATACGCTTGGTATTAGTAAAATGTTCGTGTACCGGGCTATTAATAAGTGCAATGAGACCTCCTCTGTTTGTGACAGAAAAAGATCTGGCCGTCCACGTAGTGTTCGTACGAAAAAGGTGGTCAAAGCAGTAAGGGAAAGAATTCGAAGAAATCCTGTCCGAAAGCAAAATATTTTATCTCGGGAGATGAAGATAGCACGTAGAACCATGTCGCGTATTTTAAAAGATGACTTAGGACTTGCAGCCTATAAGAGAGGTACTGGTCATTTCTTAACTGATAATTTAAAAGAGAATAGGGTGGTAAAATCGAAACAACTACTGAAGCGGTACGCAATGGGAGGTCATAGAAAAATGTTGTTTACGGATGAGAATTTTTTTACAATTGAGCAACATTTTAACAAAAAAAATGACCGTATTTATGCTCAAAGCTCTAAGGAAGTTTCCCAATCAGTCGACAGAGTGCAACGTGGGCACTATCCGACTTCAGTGATGGTTTGGTGGGGTATTAGCTATGAAAAAGGTATCAAAACATCGGCACAAGTGTATCAAGATACCCTTCTTGAGAAGGTAGTGAAGCCTCTTAACAACGCCATGTTCAATAATTAAGAATGGTCCTTCCAGCAAGACTCGGCGCCAGGTCATAAAGCTCGGTCTACGCAGTCTTGGTTGGAAACGAACGTTTCGGACTTCATCAGAGCTGAAGACTGGCCGTCGTCTAGTCCCGATCTTAATCCGTTGGATTATGATTTATGGTCAGTTTTAGAGTACGGCTTACTCTAAGCACCATGATAATTTGGAGTCCCTAAAACAATCCGTACGATTGGCAATGAAAAATTTTCCGAAGGAAAGAGTGCGTGCTTTTCTATTGATAACTGGCCTCAACGTTTAAAGGACTGTATTGCAGCCAATGGAGACCACTTCGAATAAGCTTTTTATACTATAAATTGTTTTATATTTATGTATTAAACTAACACACTGTAAAAGTAATAAATGTTATTTGCAATAGATTTTTATTTTCCTTTGTCTCAGTATTTATAGCAAGACTAGGTATAGTTATGCTAGGCTATAGAAATAAAATGATAATATTTCAACTACAAGTTTAAACTTCATCAGTAAAAGCAAACATCTCTTTCGTCTCACTATAACTATTAAAAATGTATTTTCTCATACTCAGTTCAGTGTTAACAATTACTTAAGTGACTTTATATCACCGTATGTGCGATATAGCGAGCTGTTTCTGCAGCGTTAGTTCTGCGTTGGAACTCGTAATCAAAAATCACTCGAATTTTCGAAGTGTCTATCTTTCATGTCTAAGCTGAATAAAAATAACAACTCAAAGTCGATAATCGAATGTTGCACATTTTTTAAAAGAATAACCTCATAGGTGGGTAACCATTTGAAAAAAGTTTCACTCAAAAATCTCAAACTATGAAGGTTCTATGTCAATTCTAAGTAGGGACCTATTACAATAAAACGGCAATTTCATACTTTAACCCCTATTAATATGTATTGGTCTATCAAGCAATTTCGCCCCCTCGGTGGAAAATCTTCCCGCTGTCAGTTACCCCCAAAGCAAAAACGGAAGAAATTCGCTTTAGTTTTCGATTCTTGAAAAACACCATTATTACTTTTACCATTTTTTCACTGTGTTTTATAAACAAAATTTTATTTATGGAAAAAAAATATAATTTGATTTAAATTCCATTATGAAACAAACAACTGATAAACAGAGCAAAGGTGAATGCAGTGGATTCCCAATGTTGTCATCGCTGATATCAATATTATTGTTAAACTCTCGATTTACTTCATTTCAGATTCTCTCTTAATTGAGTTTTAAAGATGCACTTTATCAATTAAAGTAAAGGTTAAGTATATTGTAATTAAACATTAAAATTGGAAACTAATTACTCCAAATCGAAATACACCTTGCAAAAAATTTAAGTATCTGATAGCTTTGATTCTGATCCAGCATCACACCCTGGAGGTAGGAATCGCACCGTTTAGGTACTAGATAGCTCGCAGATAAACTTTCCGCCCACCCTATAAACGATCATACGATGTCATTGACAATACAACGTGAACATTAATAGCACAAATAACGCTGCCCACTTCCTCCATCCACCTTTTTGTTTTATTGCTTAGATGGGTGGTCGCGCTCACGGCCCTGCTGGTGTTAAGTGGTTACCCGAACCCATAGACATCTACAACGTAAATGCCGCCACCCACCTTAAGACATGAGTTCTAACTGTTCTAAGGTCTCATTTTTAACAGTACAATGGCTCATCACCCTTCAAACCGAAACGCATCACTGTTTCATGGCAAAATTAGGCAAGGTGATGGTACCTACCCGTGCGGATACAAGACGTCCTACATCCATTAATTGTGCAAATTAAAATTTTGGTTAAGCTTCGCTGTAATTATTTGCAATTGTATGAAGAACAAC